AGTGCCATGAACTTCGAGTAGTTTAAAGAGCAAGCCTTTGCACATCTCGTCGCTATGAGAGACGGAAGTACTTAAAAGTCGCTTACCATCTACGAGATCCTCTCAGAAATTTTGTGGACAGTGACCACCTCCCAAATTCATGCTAAGAGCAATTGTAAAATTTGCACTGCTGTCAGTCGTGTCATTGTTCAAACGAAATGAGCACTTTTAGAGCTGTGTAGCTCTATAATTCCACCTATTTCCCTCCTCTCACTAATTCTTAACACTTCGACCTACTTCACTCACTAATTTTTAACAGTTCCACCAAATTCTAAATAATTCCATATTACCTACCTCCTTACTCACTTACTGCCTTGCCCTCCTTTTCCCTCCATTAATTTTCCCTATATAAACCTTCCTTAAAACCCAGGCCCGTAGTTTTGGGAATTAATACGCGCCATTGATCCGCTACCTCCTGCCACAGCTAACACTACTAGCTGCTTGCCTCAGCACCACCAGCGTACTTGTTGTGAAGGAGGAATTGTTTTGTTGGTTTCTCAGGTCGCTTTGGCCCACAACAAGTAATTAACTGTATTACTGGTTCGTATCCTCAAGTATCCAGTGTGTGCTAGTTGGGTAATTGTACTGTCAGCAAATATTGCTAAATTCCCCTGAACTTGGTCGACTTCTAGACAGCGTGAATACCCCCAGGCGTCGATTTTTGGGTCAGCTAACGTCATTCCGCAGACTCACTCGTCGTACCGTCGGTTACCTCAGACATGGGTAATATAACCTTTATCATAAATAGACATGCGCGACGCGAACGAATAAACGTCGAATATACGTGGATATAACATGCATTAAAGAAATTACAAGAAAGAACAAGCAGCGCCTCGTTGCTTCCTCGTCCGTAGTTGTTGTCCATCCGCCTTCGCGTCCCCCACCCGTTGTGGTCGAAAATAGTCGAAATGATATAGGAGGGATTTCGGTATTCCTCGTCGGAACATCTGGACGTTGTTGATCCGGCTGCCTCCACTGTTGAGAACAAAGTGCTGAAGGAGGACAGTGCCGCTCGGAAGAAATTAAAGCATAAAAAGACATAAATATTCAGATGTCTTTCAAAAGGAAGGTAGCAAAAAAATTACAAATTTTATACAATTTATTGCAAATCGAGATTTAGCAATCAAGACAGTCCTCCTTCTGCTGAACAGCTTGTGCGGCGCCGCGGCTCGTCGTTTTATTTGAAGTGAAGCTCTTGTAGGATAATAAAGTTCTAGCATTCTTCCCTCTCTTCCGTTGCTGTAGTCGAAGGACCACCTGAGGGCCTAACAGCTGCATCGATGGCGAGAAGCTTATGTAGCGATAAAATTATAACTGCTTGAAGTCACTGGGCATAAATAATAATCATCTGAAAGTGATAATCTAGTTCTTTAATGGTTCAGCCGGCAGTTTCCTAGTTTTTTGACAGAATCACTTTTGTTAACCTACTGACTATCTCGACGTCTATTCCTTTTCCTCAGAGAATTAGCAGCTCAGCGGTTCTTGCAGCAGAAGTATCTGGCAAGGTTCTAGCTATCCTTGATGATGTTCTTAGACTGTGTTGACATTATGCAATATATTGTTACTGCTGTTAAAAGTAATATTTTGCTAAATTCGAGCACCATTTGGTGGTAAGTCATTTAATACATTTATACAGGGATACGAGGGAATTGGATCGCACAGTGAAGCAGTGGAATGAACAGATTACCGGTGACATTAAGCAACTGGTGCGATATCTGCGAATGATAGACGAACATTTCGAAAGCACCGCTGGTACCTTCACTCTTTCGCAGTTAAAGGTTCGAGCGATTTCGATTATCTTCACCGCCGACAATGAATATCGTCTTTAGTTTTTTCAGTATTTATAGGAGCGCTTTGGTGACACTATGGACAGGACATGGGGTGAGAGTTGTACCATTGATATGGTTGAAATTGGCATACTTAATGTCGTGGATAGTAGGGATGACTGTTTGGTGTTAGCTGTCAATCCGATCGTCAAGTAAGTGTGCTTGTAAATTGTTTTTAAAAACAGACACATTTATATTAAGGCGAACCAAAAGTTCACAGATTTTTATTTGCAGTCCAGAGGAGAAATTGATTGGAAAAGTTTCGAGAATTTTTTCCTACCTCGATAATTTTTTAAGTTTGATTGTTGACACCTTCGTCGACTTTGCCTGCAATATTTCAGCTTCATATTTCTAGAGTAAATTCATTGTTAATCATTTTTTTTTTATTTAGAGAAGTGAAATTTCCTGAACTGGCCGAATTTGCTAAGAAGATTTATCATGAGTTTTTGAAAATTCGAGCAGAATCAGCGGATTTCGTGAAAGTTGAACTGCTTGTGAATGCATTGGTAGGTTCTTTTTAAGGAAACATAGTAGTATTAAGGGAACATAGTATTTTCGAATATCAAACGTTTTTTATAGAACACTGCTGGAAATAAAAGCCAATTAAAGAACGAAAAGTGTACGCTGTTTTGGGATGTGTTAAGTGATGCTGAATTCCGGGAACTGTTTTTTGTTGATGTTTTACGGAAGCGAAAAGGAGGTAAGTGTACAGGAACTGCATAAACGCCTTCCTATTTTTGCATATATTTTTTGTTTTCTTCAAGACTACTAGGACTGCTCACGGTTTATTGGCACTGATCGTTTGAATTTGCAGAGCGTGGATACGATGTGGTGTTGCGTCTCAATCCCGACGTGGATGTGGAACAGTTGTTCGGCAAGTGAGTGATAGCATGTTTAGTCGTTAAAATTGCGTGGAATTTGGAGGTATGTCGCCTGATAACGATGTCTTGCCGATTCGCTGGGCGGCGGAGGGGGCGGGGGGAGGGGAGGGGAGGAGGGGGGAGGAACGAAAAAACATTGTGTATTTAATTCCATAGGTGCACAGCTTAAGTGTCTAGCATAGCTGCACTCGGCGTTTGATTTTGTAACATATCAGTGATTCCATACGGAAAGTACGGTTTCCCACGATCATTTTGAGGGTTCGTAACGCCTCCCCAGCGAAGAAGTGCCCCTTCGTTGCC